AACAAAAGAGTTCCATAAATTATCTGGTTTAACTCTCCTACTATTTTGTAACTGTTACATTCCTGTGAACCTAGTGTGACCTCTGCTGAATTTAAATATCCTACTGAAATTCTAGGTAGTTAAGATGATCAAGGTCAGAAACTGCTTGATTAAAGCAGTCTTTGTAGACTTTGTTTAAGACCTGCTTTCCTATTTCTGACTTGCTTCAAAAATAAAACCCTTCACCTTTCAGATTAAGAGAGAGTAACTCTTAGTTACTCACATGGTAGCTTACAGTTGCACATTGTTTTCTTAAATACTGCATTCACCCCTCGAATGCTTTATTTGAAACAGATTTCCTTCTGACAAGTAACATCTCCCTCATTTTTCTGTCTGAGGCTTGTGCTGCTCTTCAAGGGTTGTGTCATTCACTAGGAAAGCAAAGCTGCCCCATGGGTACTGAAAAGGTGCGTCTCCTGTAGGAACTGAGAAGTACATTTTCAATATTCTTAACATAGCTTTCATGCTCTTCAAGGGTTGTGTCATTCACTAGGAAAGCAAAGCTGCCCCATGGGTACTGAAAAGGTGCGTCTCTTCTGTAGGAACCGAGAGGTACATTTTCAATATTCTTAACGTAGCTTTCATGCTTAAGTGACAACACGGAATTTCTACCAGAAGAAATAAATCTGACTTTCATACCTTTGTATCTTTTTAAGTCTTAGAACAGTTGCTGCAGTGGCTTGAAGCAGGTGGATGGTTCACTGGATGTGTATCCCACCCATTGAAATCAGCTCCCTCCTCCACGGAAGCAATTTCTCCTTTAAAACGTTTCTGTACGGTCAGGGTTCAATATTACTGCTTGTTTTTAAAACAAGGGAAGGCTACTGAAATAAAATTAGCTGTAGTGGAAAGCATAACATTTGCGGCGATGTTCAGTTGTCACTGATGACAGAACAAATATTCGCAAGCTCTGTTGCCACAGCTACTTCAGCTGCTATATATACATTGCACTACACCAACGTCTCAACTTAAAGTCACTCCTGCCACCACAGGGCACACTGAAAGTAGTTCAACAACATGTGTACTACTAGCAGCACAACTATTACAACAGGAACTCAACAAGGGTTACAAAGCTTGTCAGATAAGCAGGACAGTAGAAAGCAGAGCTTAAACAGACCTGACACCGGTGATCTGCAGTGGGACAGCCAGCAGGACCACTTTGGTTTGTACATACTACACTAGGTGTGGTTGGTACATACTACATTAGTAAGTGCACACTGTTCACTCAGCTGGACTTATTAATGTTGCTTGATTATAATTAAGCTGATAATAATTGCCATAGGAAACTCTTAAATAGGGTTTCCTTATTTCCAAAGTTGCCCACCTATACCATGCCCACATTACCAGTGTGCAACATCCTTCTGCCTGCACATTCTATTATTTAATTATTAAAATAACTACATCTGGATGAGATGCATCCCAGAGTCGTGAGGGAATTGGCTGATGTAGCTGCCAAGTAACTCTCCACGATATTTGAAAAGTCCTGGCGGTCAGGTGAAGACCCTGGTGACTGCAAGAAGGGGAACATTGCACCTGTTTTGTAAAAAGGGAAGCAAGGAGAAGCCTGGGAACTACCAACCCGTCAGCCTCACCTCTGTGCCTGGGGAGATCATGGAGCAGATCCTTGTAGAAGCTCTGCTAAGGCACATGGAGGACAGAGGGGTGATTCAAGAGACAGCCAGCATGGCTTCACCACAGGCAAATCCTGCCTGACCAACCTAGTGGCCTTCTGCAGTGACCACATCAGCAGACAATGGAAGAGCTACTGATGTCATCTTTCCGGACTTCTGTAAGGCCTTTGACACAATGTCCTTCTCTCTAAATTGGAGAGATATGGATTTGATGGGTGGACTGTTGGGTGGATGAAGAATTGGTTGTATGGTCACAACCAGAGGGTAGTGGTCAACAGCTCAGTGTCCAGATACAGATACTATGTAACTATAGTACAACTTAATTATATTACGGATAGTAGTGACAAGTGGTGTCACTAAGGGTTCTGTACTGGGATCAATACTGTATCTTCATCAATGACACAGAGGGATCAAGTGCACCCTCAGTGAGTTTGCAGATGACACCAAGCTGAGTGCCATTGACACACCTGAGGGACAGGATGCCATCCACAAGCACTTGGGCAAGCTCAAGGACTGGGCCCCTGTGAACCTCATTATGTTCAACCACAACAAGTGCAGGGTCCTGCACCTGGGTCAGGGCAACCTCCAGTATCAGTACAGGCTGAGGGATGAAGGGATTGAGAGCAGCCCTGCCGAGAAGGACTTGGGGGTACTGGTGGATGAAAAGCTGGACATGAGCCAGCAACATGCGCTCGCAGCACAGAAGGCCAACCATCTCCTGGGCTGCATTCAAAGCAGCGTGGCCAGCAGGTCACTGCCCCTCTACTCCATGCTGGCAAGACCCCACCTGGAGTCCTGCACCCAGCTCTGGGGCCCTCAGCACAGAAAAGATAGGGACCTGTTGGAGTGGGTCCAGAGGAGGCCACCAAAATGCTCAGAGGGATGGAACACCTCTCCTGTGGGGACAGGCTGAGAGAGTTGGGGTTGTTCAGCCTGGAGAAGAGAAGGCTCCAGGGACACCTTCTTGCAGGCTTCCAGGACTTAAAGGGGTCTTCTAAGAAAGATGGGGACAGACTTTTTAGCAGGGCCTGCTGCAATAGGACAAGGGGTAATGGTTTTAAACCAGAAGAGGGTAGATTGAGACTAGATATAAGGAAGAAATTTTTGACACTGAGTGTGGTGAACCACTGGCACAGGTTGCCCAGAGAGGTGGTAGATGCCCCAGCCCTGGAACCCTTCAAGGTCAGGTTGGACGGGGCTCTGAGCAACCTGGTCTAGTTGAAGATGTCCCTGCTCACTGCAGGGGGGCTGGACTAGATGACCTTTAAAGGTCCCTTCTAATTGAAACTATCCTACAATTCTTCAGAGTATCATGTAAAATCTATTATAGGCTTTCTTTGCAATATGATCTTAGGAGATAGACTAAGAACTTGAATGTATAGGTTTTGTCATCAAGGATAATCTGAGATGCCTCCCTCCCCCTCTTGAAAATGGCTATAGACAGCCATTCACAGATATTTCACTCTAACCCCTTCCCACTGGTCTTTCAAAAAACAAAAATCCCCAAAAGTATGATCAAATGCTTCCTATATACTCAATAAAGTTATTAAATGAGCAGCAGTAATTTGCATATGTGCTTCTAAGGAAACTCCAACTTCTAAATAAACTCCAACTCAAGTTTATTTTTACATATATTTAGATTTATTTGCTATACATCACTGTGACCTTATAGTACTTAAAATCCATTACAGGATTTTTTTGCTGTTGTAATAGTCAGTCTTAACTCCACAAAGACAATAATACTGCTGTGGAAGACCAAAGGGGAGAAAAGCCATTTCAGTTTATTTACAGTTCCTTATTTTGTAAACATTTAGTCTACACATTGTACTAAGTTCTAATGAGGATAGAGCGCTATACATAGAGACAGGAAACAAAGCCCTGTATTTCTATTCATATTGAGCATTAGCATATTATAGATGAAACATCTGCCCTTTCTCATTACCATAGCAGTAGGCTGTCTTCAAGTAAGTTTTTAAAACTTTCCAAAGATGTAAATATTTCGAAATAATATACAACTACATCTAGTTAAGCCAACCCATTTGGCTTTTATTCCGTTTCTAGAATAATTTAAAGTGCTATAAGCAACCCGTCGATCAACACTTTCCTGTAATAACAAAACTATTTTAAACATTAATTTACAAGATAATATACAATGTTCATCCGAAATAGCTGAAATTTCAGCACAAGGTCAGTCACTGTCACACTTAACAGCAATTTTTTTGTTTTTGTTTTTTTTTTGTTTGTTTGTTTTTGCAGAACATAGAATAAAAGCTTGAAACAAACAGTTTTGTTGAGCTGTTATTGCCACAATGGCTTATCAGTTTTCCTACAAAAGTGGACAAGAGCTACTGGAACTGTATTCTAGCCTGTCATTTTTTTTTGAGGTCACATGACAGTAAGTTTGCATATTCCACGAGTCTACTGAATTACAATATTGTCTACCTATAGTACATTATCTCATTTTAATCAGAGCTGGTGCTAACTGTAAATTTACAACATAGACCCACTCAAAAACATCACAACTATTTTTTTCTTTGGACAGGAATAAGCTATATTCTTGGAGTTGATGTGCTACACGGCTACAACAGTATAACAGTATATATCTGACACTTTATGTTGAAGAAAGATGCATCTGTATCTGCACTTTTAATGCCCTACTATAGCTACAAATTGTTCAAAAAGTTTTGCTTGTTTTAGCCTTTTAATTTTATGGAACAACCATATTCTTACATTCCCTTGCTATTTTACAAGTCCTTGCCACGTAGCTCAATATTGTCAGAATTTGTCCCAAACCTGCAGATCATTAACAGCATGTGCAAACACCCTTTAAATATGATCGGCATGCAGCAAGAGCACGTTATTAACTGACTGTTTTCTAAACATGAACAATAAACAAGACGAGTGGCACAGTTGACTTTGGATATCTTTTCACCAGATGTGTACCAGTATGTGTTAAAGAAGGAATGCTGGGCTTCTCATCTGTTTGTGGCACCGTATGAATTAACCCATCATTGGTCCAGACCAATCTCTGCAGTGCTGCTGCAAAGTACCCACACGCAGCTTTCTTCTTATATAGGTTCACAGAGGGCAACTTCATTCATAGACATAATTTGAATACAAAAATAATAACCTATATTCAATGAAGCAGCCCCCTCGCAGGATTGCAGAAAGGTGTGTGTGGGAAACCTGGGAGGCATCTGTAATAAGGATAAGAAATTTTTTTAGGCTGCAAGGCTCTAACTACTATTAATTTTTAGTCCACATGGTCTATACTTTGTAAAAGTGTCTACAACTTAGAAAAAGTAGGACAGTATATTACAGATGTGAGAGCACGAAAAAAAGTCTGCTATTTAAAAATAATAACTAGATGGCCACGCTGAAAACTTGCAAAAAAAAAATCAGAAAGGTAAACCAGTGCACTATATTGCTCCTAGAGATTTTTGAGCTGCACTGATTCGTGTCAGGTTTGGGACAATACCCTGTAGAAACAGTTAAACATTCATTCAAAAGCCCATATTTCTATGTCTTGAATAATGAAGTCTTCTCGCTTAGAAAGTGTATGATTCCCAAATGTTTTACATGAATGACTTCTTCCATGGTAGAGATCACCATCGAGCCAGAGAGCAAACTCCCCTCTGCAAGACAGACAAGGTATTAAAGCAAAAGACTGAGGGAGTAAGCATTAAACTTCTGAATGTATTTTTCATTCATAATTCAGGAACAAGGAGGAATTACAAGATTCTTTTTCAACATAAGTACCTTATAGCTGTTGATAAATTTGAAGCTGCAAAGATTTTTTTTATTTTTTTACACTATTTATTATTAATTTGGGAATATCCCTCTTTCAGATATTCTGAAACAAAAAGCTAATCAGAATTCCTCAGTTTCCAAGCCCCTTCCATTTGTACAGTACTCTTAAATGTGAGGCGAATGCTGATAATAAGGGAATAAGGGAAACATCCCGGAAGCTTCTACACTTGCATGGGGCAAAAATCCCAGGGGGAGACAACTTATAATTTCTGAAGACACTGGCATGTCTTGTGATGGTACAGTTTCGATTCAAGCCTCTTCTAGTTACATATAATTTCGACATTTCCATACCTTCAGAATCATAATACTTTGTGTCCATTCTGAATACACCAAGACACATTGTATCTTGCATACTACATCCTTCTTGGCTGGTAACTGTTGACTCCTGAGCTATCAAACTGAAGTAAATTCCAAATTTTCTTTTCCAAAGTGTGCAGACATACACACTTCTAACAGATGACAAAAAGAAATTATAACTCACCCTCCTCCACCAAAAGCAAGGGAGTCCATGTCTCCTTTAATAAAGAACATGTTGTCTCCTGTCCATTTGAAAACCTAATAAAAGAAACCCAAAACAGACTAGCAAATTAAAATATCTGAACTTTTTGTTTAAGCAGAAGGGAAACCAAACATCAGTAAAGACAGGCTATGGGTGGCTAGAGGCCAATTTAACCATGTTTACATAGAAAATTCAAGGAACAGATATATGCAGACAAAATTCTCTTACATTTTATACTATTTAAAATAAGGTCATTGTAAAATAGGTTGTCTTTGAGCACTGGAACTTCTACACAATAAAGAATACCAAGAAAATACAGTTAGGTTAGATGACATGCCCTGTAATTGGTGGGCCGACATCAATTGTATGAGGCTTAATAAGGCCAAGTGCCGGGTCCTGCGCTTGGGTCACAACAACCCCATGCAACGCTACAGGCTTGGGGAGGAGTGGCTGGAGAGCAGCCCGGCGGAAAGGGACCTGGGGGTGCTGGTTGACAGCCGGCTGAACATGAGCCGGCAGTGTGCCCAGGTGGCCAAGAAGGCCAACAGCGTCCTGGCCTGTATCAGAAATAGTGTGGCCAGCAGGAGTAGGGAAGTGATTGTGCCCCTGTACTCGGCACTGGTGAGGCCGCACCTTGAATCCTGTGTTCAGTTTTGGGCCCCTCACTACAAGGGGGCTACTACCAACACTGAGGTGCTGGAGTGTGTCCAGAGAAGGGCAACGAAGCTGGTGAGGGGTCTGAAGCACAAGTCTTATGAGGAGCGGCTGAAAGAACTGGGATTGTTTAGCCTAGAGAAGAGGCAGCTGAGGGGAGACCTTATTGCTTTCTACAACTACCTGAAAGGGGGTTGTAGTGAGGTGGGTGTTGGTCTCTTCTCCCAAGTAACTAGTGATAGGATGAGAGGAAATGGCCTCAAGTTGTGCCAGGGGAGGTTTAGACTGGATATTAGGAAAAATTTTTTTACAGAGAGAGTGGTCAAGCATTAGGACAAGCTGCCTGGGGAGGTGGTGGAGTCACAGTCACTGGAAGCGTTCAAAAAATGTGTACATGTGGCACTTCAGGACATGGTTTATTTGGCATGGTGGTGTTGGATTGACAGTTGGACTTGATGATCTTAAAAGGTCTTTTCCAACCTTAATGATTCTATGAATTTAAAAGGATGTAGTTTATGAATTTTCAGACAGACACCTGGCAGAATTTAGAATAGTAGAAAAATCTTCAGTACAATGAGAGTAAGGTTGAATATGTTTTTCACTATACAAACACTAACAATTTACTGTGCACTTTCGGATTCTGTGGAAAAACTAGTATGATGACTTTTTTGGTCCAACTCCTAGATTTTTTCAGATTGTTTACTGTTATATTCATTCAGTAATTATTTTAAGATAATGCATATGGGGAAAAATAGCAAAAGCATACGAAGTTATTACTACTTACCTCAAAATCTGGAGAAAAAGTGAACATAAAGGTCTCCCCAGTGCCATAAAAGCCATCACTCACTTTAAATGGTTCAGAAGCTAGTGCACCAAAAACCTGTAAGCAAAAATATGCAAAATACTTAAGAAAAGCTATACAGAATTTCTAATGATATAACTGATAAAGAAATCAGGTTGTAAATATTGCCAGATTTGGAATTCACTACAGGATAAGCCTTACATGGTATCTCGGTTCTAAGTGTATTTATTGAGATATGGTAAGGTGCTTTGTGGTACACTTTAAAAAAAGAGAACTCTTTCTACACATAAAGTGAACACAGTAAAACAAAAAAATTAAGGTGATGAAAACTAAACTCAGGAAATTCTCAGAAACAGTGTACATAATTTTAAGACTTCAGATTAGAAGGTTCTGCTCCTTCATACATAGCTCCCCTTCTACTTCAACGAGGCTATTTTCAGCAAGTTCCTAGTTGTAATTGAGTTGTTTATTTTTCATGTAGTTTATTCATTCAAATCCAAGTAACAGTAAAGCACCGGTTACCCTGTCTTACAACAGAGACAGATTTTAGCTAAGCCCTTACAGGGTAGTAAAAGCATTTATAATATTCAGGACTCATTATTGGATTTTTATATCTGACTAAAGTAGTATTGATTTCCTAGGAACTTGAGTAGCTGGAAAAAAATAACCCTGCATAATTATGGAAAATCAGCTATAGCCCAGGAACTACAACCCCCCCCAAATCAGGATTTCTGGTGCTAGTAGGAAGCCGGTTTCAACATCTGTCAGAGCAGAGTAGATCTAAGTACCAAAGCACTCCACTAGCACTCTCTCATTTGTCAGTATGAGAAAGGAAATAAAAAGAAAATAAGGTTTTTGTGGTTTTGTTCACATTAAACAGTGAGTTTCAGAAGCATGGGACTGATGAGAGCAAGACATTAAAGCTGGTGTCCTGACTTGGACTATGTTCAGGATATAAAGTAGAAACTGTTTTCTTCTGCCCATCCCAAGAAACACCTTGGCCATAGGTAGGTTTTTCAAAGCATTCCTTTCCATGTTGAGCTCTATAGTAGCTCTTAACAAACACAAAACCAGGCGAGCATGAACTTCAGATCAGGAACTCAAGGATTATATACAGCTATCAGGCACCTAATAAAGACTGCCCCAGCTCAATTTTGAGTTACCAGTTCAGAAAAAACTCTGTTACAAAATTCCTTATTTCTCAGAAATTTTATGTGCTCCAGAAATTTTCTTGTTTGGAAACTTCCAACTGAAATAGAAGATAGCAAGCCTGAAAGAAGAGTCAGGTAAAGAAAAGATTTTCATGAAACAAAACACCCTCCTGCCCTCAATACACAATCTTCCGCTGACGGGTTACATGAAAAAAATTGCTAGTCTTCTAAAGAAAATCAGGGATAATTTTCTTCAAAAATCCTGATAATCCACATCAGACTGTGTCTTAACAGATCAATCATGCCAATAGCAGTGTTTTGAAATCTTTTTGTTGAATTCAAGCACTACTCTCTTGCAAGAGAGAGATTCAAGTTTATTCAAGCACTAATAAACTAATAATTACGAAAAAAGTATGCACAAGAGCAAACAAAATTTATTTGATGCACATAGTACTTCACATTTTAGAAGTCACTGCTGAGACCCCATTGTTACAGAGCAGAACAGAAATAGCACTTACATACCAAACTTCCTTTAAGCCGTGACACCTACAAAAACCTCCTTATATGCTTATTACTGTATTTTTATATATATACACTATGTAATATCACTACACTGACAAGATACTTTACTCACGCATAAAACTGTTCCTTGACTTAAGCAAAGAGAATTACCTTTGAGCATACACGCAACCAGTATTTACGTTCTAAAATCTGGTTCTCTGGAGGAACTTTTAAATAACTCCACAAGGTGATGAAATAAAGTATCACAGTCAGCTAACGGTGTTCACTTAGATAAGACCTGTATTAGTTTCAGATGTATTGTTAAACAGCAAATTCAGTCTAAAAATTTGAAGTTCCATGAACTCACGTGAGAACTAGCCAAACGCCTGTGCAAAAACAGGATTGATTTCATTCAACATATAGGATCAAACACTGGCAAGACATTTCTCTGTTATCCCACAGTCTAAGTGACAAGAACAGGCTTGAGAGAGAGAGAAATTACCATTTATATTCTGCTTTCTGGGGAAATCAGACCAAAATGAAGGAATTCTTTCAAGAAGAATGTTTGTTTTTCTGTCACTTTCCACAAGACTTTTTTGTTTTGCCCCTTCCTCCCCACCGTGTTTTGTTTTTTTGGGTTTTGTTTGTTTTTGTTTTGTTGGTTTCTTTTTTTTTTAAAGTAGGTTTGAAATGAGTCCCCGATGTTAGTAAGACCTACAGCTTTTTATACTTTCAGCCCATTTTATACTTCCAGCCCATTACTAGTTAGATGGCCTTGTGGATCAAAAAGTTCAATGAGGAGTTGACCAAGTATAACATCCAACGCAAGATTTGTAGAAAATCATGCTCAGAACATTCAATGATCATATAGTCAAACAGCAGAAACCATCGTTATTAAATAGTTATTAAAAAAAGATCAGAGAAGTCCATCTCAATTCTGGTATGATAGGCGAGGAATCACAGAATCACTAGGTTGGAAAGGACCTTCAAGATCATCAAGTCCAACCATTAGTCCAGCGCCACCATGTCCCCTAAACCATGTCCTGAAGCGCCACATCCACACGTTTCTTGAACACTTCCAGAGATGGCGACTCCACCACCTCCCTGGGCAGCCTGTTCCAATGCCTGACCACCCTCTCGGTGAAGAAATTTCTCCTAATATCCAATCTAAACCTCCCCTGGCGCAACTTGAGGCCATTTCCTCTTGTCCTATCACTAGTTACTTGGGAGAAGAGGCCAACACCCTCGTCGCCACAGCCCCCTTTCAGGTAGTTGTGGAGAGCGATAAGGTCTCCCCTCAGCCTCCTCTTCTCCAGACTAAACAACCCCAGCTCCCTCAGCCGCTCCTCATAAGACTTGTGCTCCAGCCCCCTCACCAGCTTTGTTGCCCTTCTCTGGACACGCTCCAGCACCTCAATGTCCTTCTTGTAGTGAGGGGCCCAAAACTGAACACAGGATTCGAGGTGCAGCCTCACCAGTGCCGAGTACAGGGGCACAATCCCTTCCCTACTCCTGCTGGCCACACTATTCCTGATACAGGAAGTGCGTATTAGAACAATATGGGGGGAGAAAAGGAGGAATATGAAATTAGGAATTAATTAGATCGGAAGTCTGTTACTTGACATTTGTGGAAAATCAGCTAGATTAAACATAATCATACTCATTTAGTCTAGTACTACAAAGACATGCAAAGTGTTCTCTTCCCCCATGACTTGTGAAGAACTCAAAATTTACATTATAGACAAGGCAGTTAAAAATGCTGTTTCATTTCAGGTTTAAATTAAGAGAAGCAACAGTTGTCCTGTTAGAAAGAATACTAACTCTAAAAGCTGGTACTTTAGATATTGCTGAGAAGTCTCCATAAGTAAAGGCTGGGAGAAGGATTCTTCTACATAGGCTTTACTTAGTTTCGGCTAATGGCTTTTCATGACTTGATTCCTTATAAAATCAGGTCTTCCATCAGAACTTTAAGAATTATTGGTTCATTGTCCTTCAAAGACAACTGATCAAATATCAAAGCCTTAGAAACTAGGTATTTCATTACCCAAATCCTCAAGTTTCTTTCGAGTTGTTTAGCAACGTAACATTCTTTTAGAGTTTTATTTGCTTATTTCAGTGTCACAAAAACAATTATCACCAACCCTGAGTTCATGCGTATTTTCTGCAACAATACAATTTGAACTTCAAGATGGTATTTAATTTTTACCTGATCTTTACTATGTGTTCCACTAACTCTTAACTGTTAAGGTTAAAAATTAAAGATGAAAAAGTCAGAAAGAATGCGTAATTGCTGTAGTGTATTCTGCCTATGGCTGGAGTTCTGCAGAAAGAAGTGCTCAACTTTTTTTATTTTTTCTTTTCCTTTTTGTTATATTTGCAGATGTAATCTCTAAACAGCAGAGTGGGGGGAGACATTTTTTCCTTCTTATGATTTCAAGTGTCTGGGGCAGTAGGTTAGACTTCAGAAACCTGTGTGTTAACTTCTGTCTGTTAGGCATTTTGGGACCTCCAACTGTGCTTTACTGCAGGTAACTGAACTTAAGCAGAGCATCTTTTAGGATAAAAATCCATACTGAATTCAAATTAAGAAAGTTTGACTCATGAACAGAACAAAGTGGGCTGCTGAAATAAAGAAAACACCACATTTAAATAACTACATGAATATTTTCCAGCAACTTCACAGCAATGGGAAGCCACTGAATCCTTCCAATTACTTCTTAATTTACATGTAGCTTCAAACTATCTTTGTCTCTGGATCCTAACTTCCTTTAAGGGCTCAAGTTATTCTTTGAAGATCAGCTCTGGTAGCTACATTCAGGTAGCTAAGACATGTCTTGGTTCAGAGCAATACCCTCAGGGCTGACATTACATCTAGCAAGTAAATGTAAGTTAAAAAATTAAATAAAAAGTTTCATTAACAATTGACATTCCTTGAGAGGAATTAACCTTCTGTTAAAACAACATATAGAACGTTGCAAACATTGGTTTGCACCAATCCTAAACTATCTTAGTTCAGCCTCTATACTGGTATGAAATTTTCACACAACACCTTCAGTGTTTGTCTCAGATCATCTCAGGGCTGTTATTTGCATACCAGTAAAATGCAAAGCTAGTACATCCTAACCATATGGGAAGTCTTACGTGCTTTACTTAAGGGACTTTGAAGCTTGCTTCACACAGCGATACAGGAGTATTTTATTTCTAATTATAGAATAATTTAGGTTATAAAGAACCTCAGATGTTTCTCATGCAGTTCCCTATTCAAAGGGGGACTAATTCTGATGCTATATTGGGTTGATTCAGTCTTGTCCAGTTAACTTTTGAGTACCTCCAGGAATCAGGATTCCACCAGCTCTCTATGTATATTTTCAATAGGTTTCCATCAACAAATCTGTGTCTTGAAAGATCACATTGTTGCTATAAGCAACATTAAAAGAATTGGGCTTTACAGCAAAACAGCAATTTGCTTCCCAACAGTTATTTTAGTCCTTTGAGAAGTGATGTCTAAGGTTTCTGCATGAGATCAGATTGTTGTGGCTAGTTGTTAGGGTGGATACCTAAAATTCTCAAGTTCTAGGCCCCATGTCTCACACTTCTGCAGTGTTTATAATACAATCTGGAGAACAACTTACTATAAAACTAGACAGTCTCTAGGTGGTTAACTGCATTAATTCCACTTCTAGACCACCACTTTTTTAGTGACTCATGTTCAAGCAGTCAGTGTTGATTTCTTTTTAGATGGCTGTCAGAGTAGACACCAGAGCTTGGTGTCTTCACTAACAGAAGCACATACCAGTAGATAGACAGGCCATGACAATTGTAATGTAGATATCTATAGATTTCTTTGACAGCTTTATTAAAGGATCTCCTAGAATTAAAAAACAGCAGGCAATTTACGTGGCTTCAGATTCCAACTTCCACCTAGACAATGTTCAGCTTACATACAAATAAATCTTCAGTTTGCAAAAGCTGCGTGTTTTGTCTATGTTTTTTTTACAGCCCTTTAAGTAAAATTGCTAATTGATTTTAAAAAGAAATCAAGATTGGAGAAAATTTTGGAAAAAAATAGGGTGAGGATTAGCAGCCTTTAATGAACCTTATTATGAAAAGTTACAAGGTACACTTCCTCCTTACTCTACTTACTGTCAACATCAGATAAAGGCTGTCCTCATAAACATGGGCAACAAAGAACAGAGTCTCAGAAGAGGTAGCCCCGGAAATAAATTAATTCTAGTTTCAAGGAAAAGTACCTAAACCAAGGATAAGACAAAACCAGTATCTTTGATAAACATGAAGCAACAGAGTGGGCAGAACAATGAATGCCAGAAAAGAGTGAAGAGGTATGCTCAGCAAATGGTAAGAAACTATGTGATCATAATTCTGCCATTCTTCAAAAACTAGACAGCTTAGAAAACAGGCAGTGATCTCAGAGCTAAAATATGAAAACACCTGGTGTCTCTCAAAACACATTCTGGAAGGACATAAATAGTATTTATCTTAGCATATTGCTGGTGAACTATTTCTGAATGCACTCTCCTACAAAAAAGTAATCAGATTCTTTTTTCAGCCATAGAAAGCAGTTTTATAGGACTATCTGCCAGGAAGCTACAAGATATCGAAGATAAATTAACATCTTTCAAAACATCAACAAATGGATGACCCTGATTAACTGCTGTCAAAGGGCATAGTAGGCCACCTTTGTCTTATTTTTCATGATTTTAGATCCTTGCATCAGGAGGAGAAAGACTCTAAACTGAATTTCCATAGGTTTTGAGCAGATAGTGTAAAATTAATTTTCTGCTGTCAAATGCAAAGACTTTTCTCATTAAAAGCTCGAGACACAGAACTACTGAAAACACCGCACTCTACACTGATGAAGGACTGAGCATGTAAAACTTGTCTGAGCCTTTCCTTCTGCAGCATATGCTGTTCACTGAATACACATGGATTTCACTCACTCTTGTGTGGAACCTAGGTAAGATCTGGTGTACACTCTGAAAGAAAAGTTCAGTGACTACTTAACCAAAATTCCAAGGAACACTTTCAGACATGTTCCTTGGCATAAGCCTGTAAATTGAGATTTGTCATGGTTTGTTTCAAAAACCAAACAAACAAACACAAAACAAAAAACCAAAAAAACCCCCATGTCTATGAATTCCCCGTTTTGATTGGGCAACCATGACACTTTTTGAACATGAAAATTCAGATATTCATATATGGAAGGTAATCTGAACACTTTCAGCAACAGAGCAATACCACATGCCGGTGGCAAGACAGCCCTATCAGAAATGGGACATTTTCTTTCTGGGCCAGATAATCAATCAGGTACTAGGAAGTAAATTAATCTTGAGAAGCTAATAAGGCAATGAGAGAAGGAAAGTTACCAAAGCACATTTAAAAGCCTGATGGGTCTGTTAAGACATCTCAAGTCTATTGAATAGTTTTTATCTTCAAGATTGGAAAGTAAATTAAGAAATAGCTCCCTTTTAAAGAACTTCTGGGAAGAAGTGCTCTACTAACAGAGATTTAGAAGGGATTTTTTTTTCTTTTTAAGGGATCCCTGAGGCAGAAAACAGAAGGAAAAAAATACAAGTTGTGACTCGAATTAGAAAACATACCCTTCATTTACAGTTTTCAGACCCCCTGAATGATATGAGGTGATATGAGCCCATGCTTCCTGAAAATAAAAACTGCGGTTACCAAAGTGGGACAGATAAGCAACGTAAATGCTACAGATTTTGTAGCAGTTCTGTCAATTCTTCATTACAGCAGTAACTTGCTTCTGTGAGAGAGCCACAGAAGTTTCAGAAAGAAAGAATCAAAGTCTCATGCTTCCTGTAACGTTCACCTGTTATTAGAATACTTAAGACAGGATGTTTGCTATTCAAACGGCAAAATGTGATCCACTTTCTGGAATTCATACCCTAGTCAAAGGAGACTAGAGCACAACTATGGAGACTCACACAACAAAAATTAATTATGCAGCAAAGATCCCACAGTCCTCTCCAGAATGGGAGAAACACGTTGGCTGCAGCCACAGAACATACCAAGAAGCACTGGCTGCAGCTGGCAATGACATTCCAACTCAACAAGATCTTCTGGCATAAAAAAAGAATATTAACAGTTAATTCAGTAATTGGGTATTATGAGACTCATGCAGTGTGATGGTGAACTTGTACCATTAGTATTTCCTAGAAAAGTAGTATGTCAGGATCGCCCAGCAGTGCTTTTGAAAGCCTTGATGTGTTTTTAAAAGCCTCAACATAACTACCAATGAGAAAACCAGCTTGACACACACAATTTTATCTCCCATGATGGGCTGAAGCATCAGCTATTCCTTTATTTTCCTCCAACATTTTTCTTCATAGGTCTCCTACCTCCACACCAACATTCTCCTACCTGTCCATCACTGTCCTTGATCACCAACAGCACAGGTGTGTCTAATCCCAGCATAGTTCGATACAAAGTCTTCAAGCTCATGCCATGCTTTGCAGTACTGTAAGCAAGAGTCCATGGATATCCAATGGTCCGTGGAGGAAGAGACTTTGTGAGCTGTTAACAAGATAATGACAATCCCTTTATTTAATATATTACATATAAATTAAAGCAGATTATATTCTTCTGAACTACAAGTGGCCTTAAAAGATAGTTTAAAACTTCAGACCAACCCTAAAGTTTCACATGTATATTTTCTATCCCTGGTCTCTCAAGCAGGTTTCTTCTCCTACCTCAACCACTGACCTGCAGGAGAAGAATGATTTACCAACTGAAGAACATGTGTTTGGTAAGGTCTCTAAAAAGTTTCCCTAAAAACAGTAAAACCACATAGTTATTCTTGCATAACAATACTACGTCTCAGTACTAAGGAACTAGATCACTAAAGTCAACAGGTAACAAGCTGAAGGGTAAAGGATGCTTGCTCTCCTTTCCTGTGCCTTTGAATGCAGTCAGCCTTAATCCAAACTATCAATAAACACGTTTAATGACATGACTTTGGACTGGACAGCAAGAGCAGCAGTGAAAGCCAAGCTGTTTTCAAGGAAGAATGCAATAAGGACAAAGACATAGACTAGTGTTGTCATGGTGTAGTGAAAGTTATGTGACTTTAGCTATGAATTGTGCTATGCTTATGCACTTAGACATACACAAGTCTATGGGGCCGGATGGAATCCACCCAAGGGTACTGAGGGAGCTCATGCAAGTGCTCACCAAGCCACATTCCATCATTTATCAGCAGTCCTGGCTAACTGAGGAGGTCCCAGTTAACTGGAAGTTAACAAAACGTGACACCTGTCTGCAACAAGGGCCAGAAGGAGGATCCAGGGAACTACAGGCCTGTCAGTCTGACCCTCCCCTGTGCTGGGGAAGGCTATGGAACAGGTCATCTTGAGTGCCATCACATGGCACATACAGGACAACCAGGCGATCAGGCCCAGTCAGCATGGGTTTATGAAAGGCAAGTCCTGCTTGACCAACCTGATCTCCTTCTATGACAAGTTGACCCACTTAGTGGATGAGGGAAAGGCTGTGGGTGTTGTCTACCCAGACTTTAGTAAAGCCTTTGACACCATCTCCCACAGCATTATCCTGGAGAAACTGTTTGTTCATGGCTTGGACAGCTGTACTCTTGGCTGGGTAAAAAACTGTCTGGATGGCCAAGCCCAGAGAGTTGTGGTGAATGGACTTAAATCCAGTTGGCGGGCAGTCACAAGTGGTGTTCCCCAAGGCTCAGTACTGGGGCCAGTTCTGTTTAATATCTTTATCAATGATCTGGACAAGGGGATCTGGTGCTCCTTCAGTAAGTTCGCAGATGACACCAAGTTGGGTGGGAGTGTTGATCTGCTGGAGGGTAGGAGGCTCTACAGAGGGATCTGGACAAGGTTGGATTGATGGACCGAGGCCAACTGTATAAAGGTTCATCATTGCTAAGTGCCAGGTCCTGCACTTGTGTTGCAACAACCCCACGCAACACTACAGGCTTGGGGAGGAGTGGCTGGAAAGCTGACTGGTGGAAAAGGACCTGGGAATGTTGGTCAATAGCCAGCTGAATGTGAGCCAGCAGTGTGCCCAGGTGGCCAAGAAGGCCAACAGAGTCCTGGCCTGTATCAGAAATAGTGTGGCCAGCAGGAGTAGGGAAGTGATTGTCCCCCTGTACTCAGCAATGGTGAGGCCACACCTTGAATACTATGATCAGTTTTGGGCCCCTCACTACAAGAAGGACATTGAGGTTGCTGGAGCGTGTCCAAAGAAGGGCAACAGAGCTGGTTGCTCAAGTCCTAACAGGAGTGGCTGAGGGAACTGGGATTGTTTAGTCTGGAGAAAAGGAGGTTCAGGGGAAGCCTTATCGCTCTCTACAACTACCTGAAAGGGGGTTGTGGTGAGGTGGGTGTTGGTCTCTTAAGTAACAAGTGATAGGATGAGAGCAAATGTCCTCAGGTTTTGCCAGGGGAGGCTTAGATTGGATATTAAGGACTATTTCTTCAATGAAAGGGTTAAGCACTAGAACAGGCTGCCCAGGGAATTGGTTGAGTCACCATCCCTGGAGGTATTTCAAAGATGTGTAGATGTGGCACTTAGGGATATATTTTAGTGGTGGACTTGGTAGTGCTAGATTAACAGTTGCACTCTGTGATCTTAAGGGTCTTTTCCAACCCAAATGATTCTGTTCTATTCTATTCAGTATCACACAAGGTCTTCCTACTGGTGTTTTACACTACGTCATAGCATTTCTGATACATTTAATGGACAATACTAAAAAATGACATATTAACTTATATACCTTTTCAATTTGTTCTGGCTGTAGTAATTCACTGGGATCGCTAAGATTTGGCCGGAATGCTTCAGGCTCCAGGTCTGTTTTGATATTCGTTGCCTGTTTTGAATTGGTATCTTCTCTTGTTGTTATCTACAAAAAGAACAACACAAATATAAGTATTTGCAATTCTATTAGCAGGGAAGATAAAATTTGCAGGTTTATAATAATGCAGTTACCAATTCAGTTATGCAACTCTTCCAAAAGTTAAGAAATCCATTAGATCTGATCTGACCAACATTTCCACTGCTTCCAATAGCAAGCCAGTCTCAACTATATACTAGCAATAAATTACATAAGAGACCTACTCAGAAGAAAGGTATGATGTATACTAAAAAACAAGTCCTCATACACAGCTGAAGGACTTAAAATGTTTCTCAGAGGTCAGCTTATAAAGTTCTTGCATTTTAAAACTAACATAGCATTCACATTAAACTTAATTAAAAAAACAGACAGGAAAGGAATTGAAACTTCAGCATGGACATTTCTCAGTAGTTTCTGAATCAATACTCTTTTAGAGTACTTGTGAAAGTTTCCAGATATGCAGTAGACATGTGTAAAGACTGCTGTCAAGTATCTTGAGTAAATCATCTGAAGAGAAACTTAGGAATATTGCTGCTCCATAAGCTGATCTGCTGGAGTACTTATGGAAATCAAAGAAGAAAGAATTGAGAGGGTGGAGAGAGGAAAGCAGCAGTAATACTTATGCTACATAGTGAGCTTTGAGGTCTGGGAGAGATGCACTGCACACAAAGATCCTGTAGTAATTTAAAATACCTGCCCCATACATCTACCCTATTGAGTTGTTGTAGATCACCATTTCCTGGAGGTGGCAGAAGGCCACAAAACTCCTCATCAGACATCATCGTAGTTCATGACAGCTTCTTACCCCAGTCCACATTCACTGGCACTTTCAAGCTAAAGTGCCACATTGTTGAGAACTAGACTAGCAGAGACCCAAAGATGTTTCCTTCTATAAATCTTGCTGCAGGGATAGTGAAGTCTGACAGAGGAGTAGGACAACGTGAAGGAAGTTAGTAACTTAAACTACTGTAGCAAGACTTACTAAAGTCTTGAAAGATTTGCTAAAGGAAAACAAAAAAATTAACAAGAATTAGTGCATCTAAATAATTTATCAGTCTGAACAAAGTTTCCTTGAAAGTCAAGACTGTCCAAATTATTTAAAGCCTGAATCCTGAGAATTTAAAGAGATTACCTGCCAAAAACATCTCCAGAATAACAACCAGTATTTGCCATATAACTCATATTCTAAACATACAACACAATTATGGTATTTCACAATACCAACATGATAAACTTTGCCAAGCTGTTGTGAAGAGAACTTTCTCAGTTAAAAAAGAAAAGCCAAATCAAATCAAACTGAAATACAAATAGCAATAGTTAAACAAAATACAGCCACCTGAGACAAAAAAAAATGGTATCCCTTTCCTCTCCTTCAAGAACTATGAAAAAAGTTACTATCACAAACTCCTGTTACTTAAAAGTAGGCTTATAAAGTCAAAGTATCAAAGTGTATTCATACAATGACTTCATTACAACAGTAATTCTTAATTCAAAAAAAGTGTGCTTAAAGAAAGCAAAAAGCTCAAGCCTTCCGTTTTTCAATGGAAGGTAACAATGCTTGTAAACTATCCAGTAATTTCCATACCACAACAAAAAAGTATATGCCTTTATCCATACAGCTTCATGTACAAAAAGATGACCTACAGACTACATTATAGAGTGCTATCTATAAAACATGTTATTTTGTAGTCCAACTCTTTTCCAACTTAAAAGCCTTTCATTCATCATATAGTACTGCTTCAACTCAGTAAAATTTTCAGCATTGTTCAAGTGTACAGCAGAAAGCTTATGTCCTTTGTTATTCTTTAATTCTGATTAAAGTGCACCATGCAAAACGTGAATAAATTTGGACTGAAGTGGTGGGGGGGGATTGTGGGGTTTTTTGATTGGTTTGGTGGTTTGTTTTTTCTTTTTTCCTGGTTGTATTTTTTGCCTTTTAAAATTATTATTATTACAGTAAAGCAACTTTCTTCTAGGAAGAACACTGCTTTGTAGAAGCAAAGACATGTGTCTGTCCAAAGGTATCTGTTTGACAGAATGCAGTATACTTTCAAAACCTGCAAATTCATCTCCCACTAAACTTTGACAGAGCAGACTGACTTGTAGTCAGATTTCCGGGGCATGAGAGGTTAGTAACTGCCATGCAGTCTACACCACAAACTCTCAGACGACCTGAGAGCAGTTTATAGGCTCCAAACGATTACATCAGATTTTTCAAGTTGGCCTAAACCTTGCATTTGGGTGTTCCAGGTGAAAGGTATTTGGAAAGAGCTCTTGCACTTCCAAAATATTAACACAAGGATTCTCCTCCACCACCACTTGCAGAAACAGAGCTTTTTGTTCTCAAGTGGGAATGAATTTTTTTCCCCAAAATATCCAATTTTCCTATAGAAGTGCAGCTTTCAGGTTCATGCTCACTGTTGATTTATGTAACCATACCACTTACAAAAACATTTTAAACCAATTAATTACTGATTATTAAATAAACAGAAGCAAAAGAGCTAAGAACATGTTTTCTTACGTCTAGTTACATAATAGGTGAAAAAAAAGCCAAGATCAAAGTAAAAAAAAACAGAACTGAAACTTTTTACAGTTTCAGCAGCCAACTACTACAGGAAAACAAAATACTGAGTGTTTCTAAGGAGTTCTAAGCTATGCTTTCCATCAGTAAGTTATGTATGATGTACACAACAACTAAGTACTTTATAGTTGTCAAAGAACTAAGAAACACCTAAAGAGAATGCAAATATCAGTTTAAGTCCATTACCAGGAACACTTCAAAAAAACAAACGGAAGTACTGTTTTCAAAGTACTATTTTTGGAACAGACAGTTCCATTACCAGTTCCATGTGTACAACCTTTGCCATGCTGAACTGCCTCAGTTACCTGCTTGTATAATGGGAAAAATACTTACCTATTCCACAGAAGTTGTGAACCTTCGTACTTGCCAAGTACTGTAAGATTCTTGATGAAAGATTCCTACATAAAATTAAACACCCATGCAAAAAGATTTTGGATTCTTCACCTGTTTTGCATTCTTTTTAGGAAAACTTCTATCTAACACAATACACCAGTCTAAAGTGGAAGTTAAAACACAACACTCCAAGTCAAGTAGTACTGAGAACAAATTTTCAAATTCTGACAGAAAATTCCTGTTTGAAAAAGTTGGAATTAATGATTCCATCATAAAATTACTGATTCCATCATAGTATTGCACAATTAAATACATCCAAAACAACGGAATTTTCTGCTGGATCCTTGTAGTGCTGTAGACAAGACAAACCCACTGAGTGTGGGACTTGCCCTGATCAAAGACACTACAAAGGAAGATGTTGTAGTATCTGGAGATGCGGTTTAAACTACTGAAGAGGGCACCTGGAGACGTCTGCAGAGTGTGCGCAGTTCTTCGCTATTTAGAGCATCGATCCTGCGGTGATACTCAGCCACTGACACTACCTGAATATGGAGACAGGAAGACAATAATTCCACTGACAGTTGAAGAAAAGTAAAAAGGTAAGAAAGAAAAAAGTGGAGGAGAGTAATGAAGGGAAAATGTGCAATGATAACAAACAAACAAGAAGATGTTTGTTTCTGCAAGGACAATGCACATGTAGGTGATTTTAGACACATGAGTAGACACAGCAAAATTACAAACTAAACACTAATGGCACTAGCAGTCAGATATATCTCACTGCTCTAGGATGAATATAGAGCTGATATAGGAGCGCATAAAGTCACCAGCATCAGGATGCTAAATTAGAATTCAGAGTTGCATGCCTTAACCCAAACTCTTCAGCCCAAAGTCCTCTCAAACACTCTTTACGCCCAGATTAATGAATCCCGTGAACCTGGTTTGCTTTCTTGAATAAAGACTTGAAGCAAACCTTGGGCTTCTCACTGGGTTCTGACTATCTGGGAACGAAGATACAGTTAAAGACAAGGTAGCAGGACTAAAATTTAGTTAACTCCCCAATACCACCTCATAGTGTCTTTATCCTGGACCTTCTATTCACTCCAAAGCTTCAGGAGCTGCTCATCTGTCAACACATTCACCCCACATGGCACCTCCACTTTGACAGGAGGTGTACAGCCAGAAAGCCTTTAGTCAGAAAGCTCTATAACATGCTGCTCTGGTGCAACAAGGTGGCTAAAGGACTACGACAGTCATTTTGATGTAACTACAGCAAATAATGTGATTTTGAGAACGATTCAAAATCATCATTTGTATGAAAGCATCTTAATACAGCTGGTGGAGAGATTAAATGGATGTCCCATGTAGTAAGAGTGTATTAAAAACTTCTAGAGCCTACCACAGTGCAAAGGAAGATAACCACAAGTCCAGAAGCTCCCCATCTACCTGTCCCTACTACAAGGAGTTTGGCCAGATACTCGCCACTGTCCTGAGTACAGAGCCCACAGTCATGCATGACTGGCTCTCGAGCAGTGATGGTTCACTCTACCCCATGCAACTGCAAGGCAAGGAAAAAGGAATACTTGTGACATTCAGTTTTATTACTGAATAATCAGTAATTACTAGCACTCAATTTATTTCCACCACTTTCTACTGTTTTCTTAAAACTATCAAGAAAATTGATGTAAATTGTATTGGTTTGTGCATTCTCAGAGTCAAGTAGCTATATGCAAAGCTTTAACAGTATTCCACTCAAGCATATAAGTGACAGCATAGTTTTATCATTTTATTTGCTATGACAGTTCATTGCAAACTACATTGTTCACACCAGCACCTGAGCAGTGTAATCCTGAGAAACAATAATGTGAGCACCCTTTAGCCTTGTTACTTCTTTAAGCTCAGCCCCTATCACATGAGAGGCAGTAGTTAACTTACAATGGGCCATAAGTGTGTTGTTGCTTATGGAGATTCTTGGGAAAAAAAAAACAACAAAACACCATCCCACCAAAAAGCAAACAAACAAAAACCCCAAAGAAACAACACTCATCATCCCTGACACCATTATATAGTTGCTGTTTCACATACCAGAATTTTAGACAATTTTATAGGCAATGCCATCTTGCCTTTGACCTGTCAAATGCACACTCTATCACAATCTTGCACCTGGAATCCTGCACATGGGAACTGCTCATCAACCCTTTTGCTCAGTGATCAAGATCTGACACACCTTTTCATATGCCATAGGGGTGCTTGCATCCTCAGAACAGCATGCACAAGGTATTTGGATACATTTCTTACCCAAAACATGACTACTATACAAGTGTGTACACAATAATAGCTCCTTGCCATCTTGAACCCGCTGCACACCACCCTATTACATCTTTACATCTGTTTTGTGAACAAAAGCCTGCATAGTCGCAGACCACTGGTATGCAATGACAAACGTCATAAATAGCATGTCATAGAACATCAAACTCAAACCCAGCAAGTATACAGTCCATACTAAACTCTGCGAGTAAAACACAAGACAAACCGTCTCAAGGTTATCCACTCATCACTGCATTAGGCTTTAAATGAGTACATTAAGATAACTCAATAGTTCAGCTACCATACCTCATCTTCTGTAAAATGCTCACAGTTCAGGTCAACACGCTTCGTTTTTGCTTTGCAGCGGACAAGATTACATACTTCAGGGTTCTATAGCTCATTTAATCATCAAGTCATGTATGTCTAGGCCTACTGGCAACTACCTTCTACAACTTCATTCAGGATTTGATTGAGATGTATCTTGAAAACAGCTAGCATTTTGTCCCTGCAAGGCTTGAGAGGGCTGTTTTGAAACGGTAGTAGTAACATCAGAAGTTTATTCTGTTCTATAACCTGGTTTAACTCATAGCTTAGCTGCTTCCTCTTCCATCAAGATTTCTTCATTTTCCTTCCTTGTAGTCATATTAATCCTCTATTTTATTTCACCAAGCTAAATAAACCAGTTATTTTCTTCCCTGCCCCTGTGTCAGCTGTCTGTTCTCCTGATCATTCAAGGAGCTACTTTCTACCTCACTCCATTTTGAACTTTCATTCTTAAACACATATCATCATTAGTTTTTCACATGGTGTTAGAAATACCTGGGAAGTAAGGTCTTGCATTCGCAAAAGACAAATGCAGCTTTGTATGAATCATAATGGACTGCAGTTTTCAGTACAGAACGTTTCTTTGTCATAAATGTCTTTCATTTTTGGGCAGGTAGCAATAGACACCATTTATCTATTTTTCATCAAGGCTTTTGATTCTATGCTATGGTAGCCTTGCAATCAAATCAGTTATGTATCAGTTGGGCCCCTCACTACAAGAAGGATGTTGAGGTGCTGGAGCGTGTCCAAAGAAGGGCAACGAAACTGGTGAGGGGGCTGGAGCACCAGTCTTATGAGGAGCGGCTGAGGGAGCTGGGGTTGTTCAGTCTGGAGAAGAGGAGGCTGAGGGGAGACCTTATCGCTCTCTACAACTACCTGAAAGGGGGTTGTGGTGAGGTGGGTGTTGGGCTCTTCTCCCAAGAGAACTGGGAGAATTGCTGCCCTCAAACCAAGTACAGTTGAACTTTCAGAGTTAACAAGTAGCTGAAACTGGCTCTTTAGAGAAAGGGAGGGACTTATCAGACCTGAACAGTGCTTCTGAAAGATAAGAACAGAGAAAGTGTAATGGTATAAGTGGTTCTCTTCAACATAAGTTATCTATACCCTCATGATTAACTGTGAATATGGAATAAAAGCAAAATATTAAGAAAGAGAATGAAAGCTGAACAATTTTACTTTGAATCTTAATACATCTGCGTAAAAAGCAGGTGAACTGAAAGCTTCATGAACATTATTTCTTGAGAATCAAAAGAAGTTTCACCTTTAAAAGTTCTGGACTTATTTAATTGAAAAAGTAAATGCCAATGTAATTTTATCAGGCCATTTTCAGAAGTTACTCCAAAAAATATCGGTCCATCTTCAAAATATCAGTCCACCTCCAATTCATCAGTAAATGGGGAGGGGGAAGAAAGGACCAAATCCTTTCTAAAGGCTGTAAATATCTTCCCATGAAAATAAAAGGTGCATAACTGAATGCTGCTATGAATCTTTTAAGAGAAAACACTAACTTCATTTTTCAGACAAATTTAGTTTCCTCCCAAAATGTTAGTCACTGCTTGAGAGAAAGCCATATTGAAGAAGCAGACTTTTCCATCACAAATATGATTACTTGGGACATATTGATTACATTACAGCAATGCATTAATACATGGGGTTTACCCCATCAGATAGTTATAAAGTATCATCCTGAAAAAAGCTAAGACTACTTCAACTGGATTAATTTTTAATGAGTGTGGCTGCAAAGCTAACCATTTTCTGTCTTGTGGTTTTCAGCCAATTCAGCTCCCTGTCACTCTACTGGTGACACAAAGGGAAGGTACAAGAACTAGCCATTTTAAGCAGAGGAGAGGGACCTGAGAATCACAGCAGTCCCCTGAATTGGCTGGCACTGCGATTCTTCCTCCCTTTCAACACCTTTAAATCTGGCCATCTCAGAACTGTTCTGCACACCAAGGTGTTTTCCAGAGCAGGGACAGAAAAGCCGACTATGTTACATGACAATGATGCTCTCCCCGAGATCACTATTGTCCCCGCAGCTTTGCAGGATAATTTGTTAAGTGTCTGTCTCGAAGTGCTCTAAGCCCACAGCAACTGTACCAAGTCATAATTAACATATACTGAAGATAAATTAAAGTATCTGCCATAAGCAGGATTAATAAATGAACTTGAGAAGAAAGCAACCAAAGCCTGCAGCACACAAAGTGTTACACAAAGTCTGGAAACCTTTATAACAAGCTACTTCTTTAAGATACGAGAAATCACTAATTTGAGAGATATGATAATGCCAGCAAGAGAGCTAAATTTAACATGGGCTAGCATCAAAGTTTAGGATGTTTGTGCAAAGAATTTTAAGATACGAGAAATCACTAATTTGAGAGATATGATAATGCCAGCAAGAAAGCTAAATTTAACATGGGCTATCATCAAACAAAGTTTAGGATGTTTGTGCAAAGAACTAAGAATTAGACTTATGAAAACTACTTTCTTGAAGAAGCGGGTCAGGCAAATTGTCCAAAGGAAGGAAAAAAAAAAAAAAAAAAAAAAAGATCTGTAGCAGCATTACCAATAAATCCCAGCTCTCTTGCAAAATGATTTAAGGGAGTTTCAGCAGCAGCAAGCAGAGAAACCAGAGGTTCAGTTGCTGAACCCACAGCGAGGCTACATCTTGGTTCTGCTAGTGCCATGCAGAGACCCTCTCAGGTCTGACACAAAAGTGGTATACATGCTTAGAAGTAGGTAACTGAATCACAGGCCAGCGTGGAAATGTTTGTCTCTTATTTTAATCAGAAACATGATCAATTAAGGATCAGCTTCAGATTGCACAGACCACTAAAAACATGCAGAGAGAATATAAGCCTCTACTACTCGTTTGTTTTCTTTCAACTTATAATCAGTCTTTTCAAGTGCTACTGTA